CAAAAAGTTGCAAATAGAGATACCATTTGACCCAGCATTTCCACTACTGGGAATATACCCTAAAGAGACCATAACCGACATCCAAGCAGATATATGCACACCCATGTTTATCATGGCTTTGTTCACAATAGCAAGGAGTTGGAAACAACCTAAGTGCCCATCAACAAACAAATGGATAGGGAAGCTCTGGTATATTCACACAATGGAATACTACGCAGCATTGAAAAACAAGGAACTCATGCAATATTATTCAAAATGGATGACCCTGGAGGACATTATGCTGAGTGAAACATCTCAGTCACAAAAGGACAAATACTGTGTGGTGCCACTGTTGTAAAATGAGACTGACATCAGGGTGGGGGTAAAACTGAGAAACACTGGATAAATTATGTATACTTCATTGAAGCCAATGAGGGAAAGAACAGTTTAAAAGTAATATATTTAGGGCATTATGATTATCATAACAGTTTGGAATGAGGGTTGCAAAATGGAGTATACTTGGGATGTGGGTGGGGAGGTGAGGGGGGATTGTATACCAATGATGGAGTTTTTCTTTTGCTTTTCAAGGAGAAGAGAGAACTGGGGGTGTGGGTGGGGTGGGCAGGGAGAAAAGTGCAACAATGAATGAATGGAAATCCAAAATCTTTGTAAATGGTCATTGAAATTAATAAAAAAAACTATTTAAAAAGAAGAAAATGGAGGGAATACTCAGAGTTACTAGAAAAGAATTTGTGACAATGAAAAATTTCAAGAAGTAGCATATGAACAAGAGCCAGTGGTTTTGAGGGAAGAAGTCCTAGCTGTACTCAAGGCATTGGCAAAAAAATAAAAGGCCCCCAGAATGGATGTGATACCAAATGACTTGTTTCAACTAACAGATGCAGCCTTGCGTGTGCTCACCACCAGTCCATGGCAAGAAAATTGGAGGACAGCTACTTGGCCAAGTGACTAGAAGATATCCATATTTGTTCCCATTCCAAGAAAAGATGATCAAACATATTGTGGAAACTACCCAACAATATAATTAATGTCACATGCAAGTGAAATCTTACTTCTTCTTGTTATGTGCCATCCAATTGATTAAAAAAAAGTCTAGAATCAATAGGAAACTGCCAGTAATTTACGTTGAATTCAGAAGATATTATCGCATGAGGGATATCACTGCTGAGGTCAGGTGAATCTTGACTAAAAGTGTGAGAGTACCAGGAAGATGCTTGCTTTATTGACTTTGCAAAGGCATTTGACATTGTGCATCACAAGTTATGGCTAACATTGATAAAAATGGAAATTGCAGAACACTTAATTGTGCTATTATTTTCTTAGACTGTTAATGAAGGAAAACTTCAGCAAAGGTATGTGTCAAGGTTTTATCCTTTCTCCACACCTATTCAATCTGTATTCTGAGCAAATAATTCAAGAAGATGGACTATATAAAGAAGAATATGTCATCAGGATTGGAAGAAGATTCATCAACAGCCTCTGTTATGCCAATGACACAACTTTGCTTGCTGAAAATGAAAAGAACTTGAAACATTTGCTGCAAAAGATCAAAGACTACAACTTTTAGTATAGATTATATCTTAACATCAAGAAAACAAAAATCCTTAACACTAGACCAGTAGGCAATGACATGACGTAGGCAAGACAGCTAGTGTAAAGATTGAAGTTATCAACTCTTTCATTTTACTTGGATTCTCAATCAACACCCATGGTACCCACAGTCAAGAAATAAAAATATGTATTGCAATGGGAAAATTTGCTATCAATAAAATCTCCAAAGTACTAAGAGCAATGATGTCAGTTTAAAGACTAAGGTAAACCTGATCCAAGCATTGGTCTTTTTGATTACGTACTCTGCATTTGGAAGTTTGACAATGAATAAGGATGGCAGAAGATGAATCGATGCCTTTGAATTATGATGTCGTAAAATACTGAATCCCATGGCCTTCCAAAAGAACAAACAAATATGTTTTGGAGCAACCAAGGTGCTCCTTAGAAGAAAGGATGGTGAAACTTCATCTCAAATACTTCGAGCATGTTGTCAAGAGAATCAGACCTTGGAATAAAGATATCATGCCATGAAAGGTGAAGGGTCAGTGAAAGAGAAGAAGACTCTGTACCAGATGTATTGGTACAATAATTGTAGCAATGGGCTCAAGTACATTGATAAACATACTGGCTCAAGCATATGATCAGCTTATTGATGGTGAGAATGGTGCAGGACAGAGCACAATTTAGCTCTGTTCATAGGGTTACTCTGAGTCACAGTCAACTGGTTGAATAAGCCTAACTACATTTCTTTATTGACCTTCTTTCTGTTTATTCTGTTAATTATTAGAAGTGGCATGTTAAAATCTCCTACTGTTATTATAGACCTGTGTATTTCTCACTGTCATTCTGCCATTGTTTGCTTTTTTGAGGTGATGGGTTTAGGTGCATAAATAACTTTGTCATATGCCGTCAGAGCACTGTAGAACTGCCATTTTAACATCATATGTAGAGTGTTTCTTTGTCTCTTAAAATAGATTTCCTCTTCAAATCTATTTTGTATGGAATTAGAATTACCACATCTGAAATCATTTGATTACTGTACATATAGCATAATTTTTCCATCCTTCTACTTTCAGTCTATTTGTATCTTTGTGGTTAAGGCCATTAAAACTTGAGTAACTCTAATATTTAATGTTCTTTTTTAAGAAAGGTGTAGCCTTCTCATAGACAGATTTAGGATCAGTGTGTGAAGAGCTTCCTCAGGATCTCTGAATGGAAAGCCTGCATAATGCAGTTAAGACCTTTTCTCTGGATGAACATTTTTAGGAGGGGTGGCTGATGAGCCTTCTTGATTGATGAAGAGTGTATAAGGGAGACAAATGCTAAAGAGAAAGATGAGTATAAGGATAAGTCTCTTCCAAGACAGGTGTGTTCTCTGGCAGCCATGTTGTATTCACTGTGCTTTGCCAACACCATAATTTGAGTCCATCAAGAATTCTTTGGTATTCCTTATTCATTATCCAGCTTTCACATCCATATGAAGTGAATGAAAATATCCCAGCTTGGGTCAGAATCCCCTTAGTTCTCCAAGTGACATTGTTGATTGTTAGAGGTGACTTTCAAGTAAAATTAAACCCTTGAAAGCTTCAGTCTTTTCTCTTTTTACCAGCATCTTATTTATTGGTCAGGTTATGAGGATTTTTGTTTTCTTGATGTTGAAGTGTAATACATTCTGATGTCTTTAATCTTCATCTGCAAATGTTCTTAGTCCTCTTCATTTTCAGCAAGCAAAATTGTGTCACCTGCATATTGTAGGCTATCAAAGAGTCTTCCTTCAGCTCTGATGACATTTTCTTCATTTCATTCGCCTAAGATGCAGATTGAATAACTATAAACAGCTGGGAAAATGGAAAGGATTTCGGAGTTCTGCCATAGAAGTTCTCTTTTTTAAAATACCAGCACAGCATCAAGGGAAATATTTAAACTCCGTATTTTAAGCACTTTTTTCCCTTGGCAGTATTTGTGCTCATGGGGCACTTAATTCTTTTCTATCATCCAGTACAGAATGAAAGGAAGATGTCCAAAATAGTTATGGGAAAGCTCCCTCTCTACCCCTTTAAGCATGTTCACAGTGTTGTATCACCTGCCAGTCTCTTAGCACTTGTCACACACAGCCCTGCTTCATGTCAACCCCCTCTGTGCTTCCAGGAATCCGGATGCTGGATGGTGATGTGACTGATGTTGTTGAGGCCAAGTCACTTGGCATCCGACCCAACTACATCGACATCTACAGTGCAAGCTGGGGACCAGATGATGATGGAAAGACAGTGGATGGGCCCGGTCGGCTGGCCAAGCAAGCCTTCGAGTATGGCATTAAAAAGGTTTGTGGAACTGAGCAGCAAGGATCCTGGGATGAGGAGTGATGGTGGGGCCTAGTCCAGTCTGGGTATTATTCTATCTTGTATCAAGGACAGTGAGAGGGGAAATGTTATTTACCACCTTGAAGCAATACCCTGTTATGGTATCACTGCTCAGAGAGGACCCCTGGTCATCAGGCTGGCTTCAGGACTCTGCCTGGCCTGTTTTGATATGTGCAAAGAAGTCTTGTGCTAATGGATAGGGTGATTTGGGCCAAAGAAGTTTCTAGCCATTACAAGAGTAGTTAATCCAGCTCCCCTATCACAATGGGTAATCAAGATTTTAATGCCACTATTTTCAGTCATAAACTAAGAAGCTACTGGTTGAACAGAGCAAGGGAACACTGCATGGTTTAAAATCAGGAAGAGTTGTATCCTGTCAGGGTTGTATCCTTTCTCCATACCTGTTCAATCTATATGCTGACCAAATCATTCAAGAAGCTAGACTCTATGAAGAAGAATGTAACATCAGGATAAGAGGAAGACCGTTTAACAGCCTGGGTTATGCAGATGACACAGTCTTGCTTACTGCAAGTGAGAAAGACTTGAAATGCTTGCTGCAGAAGATCAAAGAATACAGCCTTCAGTATGAATTTCATCTCAACATCAAGAAAACAAAAATCCTCAGCACTGGATCAATAGGTAATGCCATGATAGATGGAGAAAATATAGAAAACTGTCAATGATTTCACCTTACTTGGATCGATAGTCAGTACCCTTGGTAGTCAGGAGATCCCAGGAGACATTGCATTGGACAATTCTGCTGTAAAATTACTACCAAATTACTGAAGAGCAAAAATATCAATTTGAAACTAAGGTGCACCTGATTCAAGTCATGGTCTTTTAATTTACTTACTATGCTCCTGGGAGCTAGACAATAAATAATGATACAGAAGAAGAATTGATGCCATTGAACTGTGGTGTTGGGGAAGAGTACTGAATAGCCCATAGACTACCAAGAGAACTAACATACATGTCTTGAGGAAAATGCTATAAAAATGTCCCTTAGAAGAAAAGATGGCAAAGCTCTGTTTCATATACTTTGGACATGTTATTAGGAGGTGTCAGAGATCATGAGAATGGCACAGGATAGGATAGGGTTCAGACCTGTTGTTATAGGGTCACTATGGGCTGTATTCAACTTGAACACATCTAACAATAACACTTTTCTGTCAGTTTTTTTGTACTATGTGGATGATGTTTCTCCATCTTGCTGTGTTATTCTGATGAAGGTATTTAAATACCAGCAAGATCACCCATGTTAGACAGGTTTCAGCAGAACTTCCAGACTGAGATATACAATAAGAAAATAAACCTCGAAATATGCTTTCAAAGTTTATCCTATGAAAATCCAACCAATCACAGCAGAATACTGCCTGATAGGGTTTTGGAAGATGAGCTCCCTATGGTGGGAGGCCCAAGGAAAATACAGTGGTCACAACACTGTCCTCGGAGGACGTGCAGAATGGACCTGACCTGCTTAGAGTTTCTTTGGTAGAACTCAGAAGAGACTTAGGAGAGTTTGTTTCCACATGCCTTCTTCTATGGAAAACTCAGAAAAGGAAGATGAGAACAATTTAAAAACTCAGAGGATACAATTGGTGTTACTAAATGTTTTGTATAGAAATTATTTAATTGATGTGTGGTTTACT